CGGTGCGGAGGAACTCGAAGTTGGTGTCGTCCTTGATGAGCACGTGGGTGGTCCCGCGCTCGTCGCCCTCCACCGTCGCGTCCTCGACGCAGAGCATCTGTATCACCGTGCCGGTGCCGCGCCGCGCGGCCGTGATCGGCGCGCCCGCGGTCTCGTTCGCGCGCGAGCTGCCGAACAGCGGAGATGACGGCGAGCGCCGCGCCGCATGGCGCGAGGGCGACGGCGAGCGCCGCTCGCGCGAGCTTGACGGCGAGCGCGAGCGGCGGCACGGCGCCGAGGAGCGGAAGGAGCTCCTGGGCGAATGGCTCCGCCGGCTCCGAAAGCGGCTCTCGTCGCTCGACGATGAGCGGCGCTCTCGGCGCGCATGCCGTGATCTGGAGCCCGAGCCACGCGAGCTGTGATGGCCGCGGCGCCGTCGGCCGCGGCTGCTGCTTCGGGAGCGGCGGTCCATCTGTGTTTTTGCCGGACTTTTATTAGCGAAGCACGCTGCTGAGGCTTTCTTGAAGTTTTGAAAGCCAGCCGCGGCCGCGACGAGTCGGCCGGCGCTTCCCCAGGCTCCCGGCGCGCGCCTCGGGGCCGCCGCTCGTCGAGACCGCCCGCAAGACCCTGTCGGCTGTACTTCATTACCTGCTTCACGCCGCGGCGTGCGCGCGCGCGGCGCGCGCTTTGCGAGCCCCCCTACGCGCCGCCCCCGACAGCGAGGGCGAGGTCCGCTTCCGACCCCGCCCCCTGATACGTAGGGATCGCGCGTGGGTCGCGTGGGCCCCGGCGGCCGCGAGCTCGTCGAGGTACGCGCCGAGATCGCGCGCGGGCGGGTCCTCGGCGACGTCGTAGATCTTGCCCGCGACGCGGTCGACAGCGAAGGCGTGCTCTGCCCCGTTCGAAAGTTCGACGCCCACGATCACGGCGTCCGAGTCGGACGCCGCGATCGCCGCGCGGACGTCCGACGACGCGAGCGAGAACCCGACAGGGTTGAAGCCGACGCGCGCGAGCCACGGCGTCAAATCACCGAAGCCCATGCGATTCTCCTTCCAGGGGGGAGGGGCCTCGTGCCCCCGGGCGAGGAGGAGGGCGCGCACCGCCCCGTCGAGACAGTGGCCCCCGGACGCTCGGTCGGCTGCAGCCGCTGCCGTCGCGGTCCCGGTGGGTTCTCCCAGGACCGAATCACCGGGGTCCCCCACGTGGCCCAACGAGATGGCAGCGGCGCACGCCTCCTGCGACCCGAAGCCCAACGACACCAACGGGCGGTGCGACCCACTCTTTTCGCGCGCGGCGCGGAAGTGCGACGGGAGCGCGCCCTCCAAGCAACCCTCTTCGACGACGACCCACTCCCCCGGGAACTTGTGCCTCGCGAGTTGGATGCCCGCCGTGTCGCGCAGGCGCGCGAAGAACATGCACCCGAAGTAGGTCAGTCGGTCGACGGAAAGACCATAATCGTTTGCCACGACGCGGAAGGGCGCCACCTCCCTCGTCGGCGTGTAGAACAGCTCCGAGAGAAACATCGGATCCTTTTCGATGTCCAGCGGCGCTGCGATGCGGTCACGATAGAGCGGTTCCGTCACCACGCCCGCGCGGTCCAGCCCAGTGAAGCGGAGCATGAGCCTACAAAAAGCGCGCGACTTCGTGTGGGGCAGCCGTGTTCAAAGGTTGCGCCCGGCCAATGATATGCGAGGTATCTAGTTTCGTTGGGGCAAAGGACGCCGGCGCGATCCGCCGCGATCCGGCGCGATCCCGAGCGATCTCGAGCGATCTCGAGCGATCTTACGCGATCCCGAGCGCTCCTACGCGCTCGGACGCGCTCCCGGCGATCCGGAGCGCGGCGGCGCCGGTCATCAAAATCGGACTGCGCTTGAGCGCTCTCCCAAAGGCATCTCCAAAGCCGCCACCGCCGACGCGCGCGCCGCGACCGAAGCGTGCACAGCAGACACGCTTTTTGAGAAAGCGCGAGACGCATCGATCGCGCACCACCCATGAGCGAGCAGGTCGCCACCGCGACGCCCATGGAGGCCGACGGCGCCGCGCCGGCGACGGAGACGAAAGAGGAGGCGGAGCCCGTCCCCGAGGACGGCCTCGACGTGCTCCTGCTCATGCCCGGCTTCGCCGGCGGCTTCGACGGCCCGCGCGCGCAGTACCTGCGGAGCATGGGCCACAAGCTCGAGCTCATCGAGTGCCCGCCGCCGACGAGCCGCGCGAACCTCGAACGCGGCGTCGCGATGCTGCAGCAGCGCCTCGCGCACGGCAAGCCGCCGGACGTGCTCCTGGCCTCCGACGAGGACGCCAAGGGCGGCGACTACGTCGAGCAGCTCGTCGAGCGGAACATCTACGCGCACGGCCGCATCCTGCTCCAGTCCGAACGCGAGTGCATCCTCGGCAGCTACAACGTGCTCTACATGAAGACGGGCCCGATGGTCCTCGACTTCCGCATGAACAAGCTGCTCTACGCGTGCAAGGAGATGTGCGACGTCAACGCGCCGCCGCAATGGAAGAATCTCTACACGAAGAACGAGCCCGAGGCGGCCGCGGCTCCTCCGCCGGAGATGGCGGAGTAAAGTCGCTTAGGGAAGTGAGGAACGCGGGGGTTGTTGTCGGCGACCGCCGTACGGTGAACGGCGGCCGCGTCATGGTGTCCGCGGATCCACTTCAGAGCGAGAGCGCGAGGTCGACGACGGCGTCGACGTCCGCGTGCGCGCCCGTCGAGGCGTCGTAGTGGACGAAGCGCGACGCGCCGTCGGCGAAGACGAACATGCCGCCCTGGTTGAACGCCTGGGCTTGTTTCGGCGGGATGATGAACGCGCCCTCGCCGGACGGCCCGCCGCCGGGGAGCCACTTGCCGAGGACGTCGCCCAGGTCGCCGCCCGTGCCCGACTGGAGCCGGTCGAGGATGGCGTAGGGCGTCGCCGGGTTGAAGAAGGTCCGCCCGACGCCCGCGTTGAGCGCCAGCGCGTCGTAGAGCGCGTTCTCCGGGTCCGCCAAGAGCCGCGACGCGTCGTAGCCGACGTGGTCCGCCACGAGCCGGCCCTTCTCCGGCGTGCCGATGCCGACGGCGACGAGGCCCACGCCCGCGGCCTCGAGCGCCGGCCGCCGCCGCTCGAGCTGCACGAGCAGCTCCTGGCAGAAGGGTCAGCCGAAGCTCCGGAGGAACGAGACGACGGCGACGCGGTCGCCGCCGAGCTTCGCGCCGAGCGTCGTCGCGCCGCCCGTCGCGGCGTCGAAGGCCTCGAGGTCGCGCACGGCGGCGAGGTGGTCCATCGTCTTCGCCGACGCCGGAACGTCGCCGCCGTAGGTCACCTCGCAGCCGCAGTCCTCCGCCGTCGACGCAGCGCGCGCCGCGCGCCGCGCGAAGGACGACGTCTGCGGCCGCAGCGCCGTCGCGACGCCCAGCGAACACAGCGCGAACCTCGAGACGCGCATCGTGGCCGACGACGAGCAGCGCGGCGCGGCGGACGCAGCTCGTGTCGTGGCAGGCTGAGGTGGGCAAAGGAGGCTGCAAGGTTCCGGAAGGTGCTGAGTTGAGCTATAAATTGCACTTTCAAGCGCGCGATACCGGCCGGTCGCTCCGGTCTGGCCCGGCGTCCACGCCGGCAGTAAACAAGCTTCGTCGAAACAAGCAGGCTTAATTAAGCACCGTCCACACACAAAATCGACCTAGGCGGACAAGGCTGTTGCTTTCATCTGCCAGATGCCCATCTGGCCCGGGTGGGCGTAGGTCGAGTTGAAGTAGGTGAGCATCTGGAGCGTCGTGTCCTTCTTCAGCACCGGCGGCGCGAGCAGGCCGTCCGCGGCCGCGCCCCAGAGGCACGGCGGCGTGAAGAGGTAGCCCGCCTCGTCGAAGACCTTCTCCGACGAGCCGACCCGGGTCTTCCCGTCGCAGAGGATCTCGCCCGAGTCGAGGTTCTTCAGCACCTGGCGGATGCAGTTCGGCGCGTGGCAGTGGCTCGCGGCCATGACCAGCGCGAAGCCCGACTCGCCGACCGTGTCGGCCCCCATGCACTGGCAGTCCGTGGGCTTGCACGACGACGCGAGCATCTCGCCCGCGGGGAACGTCGACTGGAAGATCTGGACGTCGTCCCCTTCGTCGGACCCGACGCCCCGGACGACGTCGAACTCGATGTGGCCGCAGGCGTTGGCGCAGCCGCCGCCCGAGCAGCCGCTGTCGCAGCCGTTCGCGGCCCACTCGACGTGCTCGATGTCCGCGTACTTGTCGTCGTCCCAGTCGTCGTAGTAGAAGCGGAAGCGGAAGAAGACGCGGTCCTCGAAGGCCGGCGGCTCCTGGTCCGCGTCCAGCAGGAAGGCGCCGTCGGCGCAGCAGCTCAGCCCGCCGACGTACGTCGCGGCCTCGCACGTCGGGTTCTTCGTCGCGTTCAGGTCGCTGAGGGGCTCCGCGCGGTCGCAGTCGCCGTCGAACGCGCGGCCGTCGACGGTGCCCGCCGTCGCGTTGATCTTGTTCCGCGTCGTGCGGGGGCACTCGAGCAGCGGCGAGTAGGCGTAGGACGGCGGCGCGGGCGGGCGTCGCGCCGCCGGGCCGCTTGATGGCCGGCAGCGGGCCCTGGCCCGGGTCGCCGTCGCCGTCGTTCGTCGAGATCTGCACGGGCGCGACGACGAACGCCGACGGGCTCCAGAGCCGCCGCGCGTAGCCGGGGGGCGCGCCGTGGAACATCTGGCGGTGCTCCTGGCCGTTGCCGTGGACGAAGGACTGCGCGAGGCGCGCGCCCGGGGGCGCCGCGCCCTCGGCGACCTCCACGTCGAGGACCTTGGCGTGGCCGTAGAAGGCGCCCGCGGCCGCGCCCGCGGCGTCGGAGGAGAGCCGGACGGCGGAACTTAAGAGTTGCACGCCGTAGTGGTGGTTGTACGAGTCGTACGCGGCGACGGACTCCGTCGCGCCGTTGCCCAGATCGCGCAGCACGTCGACCTCGAAGCCCGTGACGGCGATGGTCGCGTTCGCGTATTTCGCGACGACTTCCGCGGGCAGCGGCACGGCGGGCAGCGTGCGCCAGGCGACCTCCGAGTAGCGCATGGTCAAAACGGGGCTGTCGACGTCAAAGTAGGCGGCGCCGGAGAACTCGCGCGACTCGCCCTCGTGGCCCGGCGCCTCGTTGGTGATCGTGTAGGGCATGGTCGGGTTCAGGTGGTGGTGCGCCGCGCGGGCGCCCGCGACGAGCGCGAGGAGCTTGGCCATCGCGAGAAAGCGAGGAGAACGAAGAGAGCGAGGAGAGCGCTCGAGGAGAGCGAGGAGAGCGCTCGAGGAGAGCGAGAACGCGTTTGAACTCGCTGCCCATAGACTCGTGCAACCCGTTACAGCTAGTTAGCAATAACGCGATAACACCCTAGCTAGCCAATCAAATAACACTAATAACACCCTGCCGATGGCAGCCACTCGATTTTTCAAAATCAATAACACCCTGGCGAAAATTCTCGATAACACCCATAACACCCAGCCACCCGATCCTTAAAAAGCCAATAACGACCTAACGCCCGTTAGCGGGCGACCGTCCGAGGCCAATAACGCCCTAACGGACTAACGGGTTGCACGAGCCGACTGCCCAGATCGAATGGCGTTTCAGAGGGCAACACATCGTGTTGAGCCTCAACTTGAGGCGGCGCCATTGGGCGGCGCGCGACCGAGAGCATCGGCCTCGGCTCGACCGACGCCGCTGCAAGTCGCCTTGCGCGCGCGGCCTCGACCCGAGCCGCGCCGCCGCAGCAAGTCGCCTTGGACGCACAATACCCGAGAACGACCTCACGAGACGATGCGGCCGCTCGCGCGCCGCGCGCTGCTGCTCCTCGTCGCCGGAGCCCGCGCCTGCCGCTTCATGATCTACGTCGGCGAACAGCCCGTGGACGGCCGGGCGTTCCTGCTGGACACGGAGAACAACCTGCTCAGCCTCGCGACGGAGCCGCCGCTCGTGCCCGCGGCGAAGCTGTCGCCGCGCTTCAACGCGACGCAATTCGCGCTGCGCAACGCGGAGCTCAACCTCGACGGCTACGGCGTGTCGT